TTACGCCAGCAGGCGTTGTTGGGCTCTTTGAGAGAGAGAAAAAAGGAGATAATTCAAAATTTGGATCCTGCCGGCTTAGTGTGTGAATGACATTTCAATTATTTAGGGTTTATCATTGACACTGGAGGTCTGAAAGGGGGCAGGTTATATAAGATAAAAAGCAAGGGGCTTTGCGTGACAGAAAGATGTAAAATACCATTTCTTTTGACACTTAGCTTGGCTAAAAAAGAAAATGTTAGCAAAGAGCATCTGGGAGGATTTATGGTCTGTGAGGCAGAGGGGTCTCTTCCCTTGCGTGGTCCCTCATTTGAAACTGATCTTCGTTGTGCACTGATATAACTTCACCATGGCTGTGTGTTTCACTCTCTAAGCCTGGGATCTTGATATGTGAAGATGCTGTTCTCTCCAAAAACACTGGAATGAGGGGGTCGGTATCCCATCAGTGCGAGTGACACACCCAGTAAAGGGACATGAAAAAACAATGCAATGTTTTTCTCCCGGTGGCCCAGTGGACATCCGAGGAGGTTTCGTTTCCATGTCATGTCCAAAGAAGCTTCTTCGTCCCTCAATTTTTGGTGCTGAGTGATCGTAGTTTGACTACGTTGCTGATCTTTGCTTCCCTAAGGGTTTGAATAGAGATGGACACAAACTGGGAAAATAGTGGTTTGTGATGGTTTGTCGCTATTCACAAACAACGAACCACAAACTTTCTGACAAAACAAACCTTTTTGTGGTTTGTGGGATTCAGGACTTCCAGGAGGTGCCGAAGGGCCCCTGTATGAGCTAGAGAAGCCAAACTTGGAGATAGTCTTCGGACAACGCTCCTCCATACCCCCTCTAGGTTTGGTAGACATAGGATATGGGATGTTTGTGTTTTAGTACCCTGATGCAAGTCCCCCCCCCAGGAAAGTGCTCTTTAGCAGTTGGGGGGGACAGCTTTGGGGGGCTATAACTTGGATGTTCCAAATTCAGTCTTTGCCAAACTTGGAGAGGGTAGGGAGGAGAGTTAGCCCAAGCATCAGTCCAGGTTTGGTGAAGATAGCATTTGAAATGCTTGTGTTATACTCCGCAATATATCCCACATACTGATCACCAACACATAATAGTTTCATTTCGTCCTGGGAAGATGTTATTTCCCCCGAACCACCCCACAAAATCGCCCGACTTGTAGGGTTTTTCACTTTGCGATTTGTTTCATGCACATCTCTGGTTTTGAGACAAAGATTTAGGAGCTTTTAAATGTATACACTAAAGTCAAGAAAGGAAGGGAAATAAAGTTCTATTTCAACAGCCAGTGGACCACTGGGTTTAGTCCAAACTATGACGATTCCCTGTAAAAGACAATAATGCTGGGAAGGCCCTTTGACTAAATCCAGAGGTGGCAAAATGGGTTCCCATCCGCGAGGACAGACCGGCTGAGGCTTTTCTTTCCCAGCCGACAGTTTTCCACGGCTTTTAAGCTGCAGGTGCCTGCGCACAGCTGTGTCTTTGAAAAGTGTACTTGGGAAGGTGACCCTTGCGATGGATGTCGGGGAGCGCCGGAACCTTCTCGGCCCTTGACCTTGGGTTCCCTTCCTCCCTTGCTCTCTCTATTTAAAAAAAAAGAGAGAACAAGAAGAGAATCGTTCATCTCTCTTTGGCTGATTTTGGCTGGACGTTTGGGGGAGTTTCGGGGAGGTCCTGGAAGTGCGTGTGACTATTTCGTAGACCGTGATCTTTGCCTTTTTAAATCATTATTCTTTGTTTTGGGTGGTGTATGTCAGTGGTCCCCAACCTTGGGCCTCCAGATGTGGTCCCCAACCTTGGGCCTCCAAATGTTCTTGGACTTCAACTCCCAGAAATCCTGGCCAGCAGAGGTGATGGTGAAGGCTTCTGGGAGTTGTAGTCCAAGAACATCTGGAAGCCCAAGGATGGGGACCATTGGTGTATGTAATATCTATGAGCTTCCCCTGGGTATTAAGATAACCAGGGGAGACCTTTTTCTTAGTCCCTCCACTCTCACAGATGCGTCTGATGGGGATGCAGGAGAGGGCCTTCTCTGTGGCTGCTCATTTAGACTATGGAACTCCCTGCCACTGGCAGCCCATCTGGCCCCATCTTTGCTGTCCTTCTGCAAGCAGGCCGATACCTTTCTCTTCTTTATTATCTGGCTGCCTGAGAGGGGTTTTTCAAACTGGAATGCTGCGCTCTGTTGCTTTTCAATATGTTTTTAGTATTGATTCTATTTCATAGAATACTTGTCTTTCTTTTTTTAAATGTTTGTATACGGATTGTTTTTAGCTTTTAAATAGTGTCCTTTGAATGATTCAAGCCACCTCGGGTCCTTTTAAGGAGAAAGGCAGGGTAAAAATATTTTAAATAAAATACATAAAAATAAAACCTGCAGTCGGGGTGGGGGACCCTACTCAAGGAAATTTAGTGGCAAGGAAACAGGGAACAGACTGAAAGAGAGTCTGTTAGAAATTGTATATTTGGAAATCTCATGATAAATTCACCTTTTCACTTCTGTTATCAGCCAAAGTTAGCCAAGATTATCCTTGAGGTTCCTTTTACCTGCGCAAGTCTGTGCTTCTGAGTTCTTAGAGATGAACAGTCATCATCCTAGCAAACTCAGGTGTGGTATAACTGTCAACCTAGCAGCCACGCTGCATTATTTGCAAGGCTGATTTGTCTAGCTGGACTATTTGAATCTCAGGCAAAGTAGCTGCTTGGTGGACAGCCAGGAGTTCCTTGTTCCAAAGTTTGGTTTCGGGTTTTTGCATGCGGTCCTTGAACAAGCTTACAAAATTACCAGGGAATGGAGTAAGGTGTGGTCGATCAGGAAACTTAGAAGCTGCTCGAATGCCAGGCACCGGAGAAGTAACTTGATGTTATAACCTGTTGCATTGCTTTTACTTTGTTACTTTCTGTTACTTTTTTAAAAAATACTCAACCTTTGGATTGATGATGGATCGGCACAAAACATAAAAAGTATCGAAGCAGCCCTTTAAAGGCTGTTACATGTTGGCATGCATGTTTCGAATTTCATGCCATTTTGTTATCAATCTTAAGCTGTTTTTCAACTTTAAAGTAACTTTTTAAAGTAACTAGAAGATGTTAACTGTTGCACTAGTATCTAAAATCTGTTTCTGCTTGTTGCTGTTCCTTGAAACAGATGTCTTTATAATCTAGTTAAACCTAGCCACTTTAGGCCAGAATTGGTAATTCTGAGGGGTGTAGACTCATTGAATTACTGAGATTTGCATAAGGGTTGATTTACGACTCAACGGACGGTGGGTCCACTCCAGCTGAGGTGAACAAAGGTGTTTAGATCCTGAAGATCATTTCCTTTCTCGCCTTTTCTGTAATTGCACGAGACCGCGTGGTGTTTGAGAAAAGAGGCTGAGGGTTGCGTTAAACCACCATCAAATGGCTGATCGGCAAGTGTCTGGAGCATCTTTTTGACCACCATCACTCTTCTTGGTTGAGATATGCCGAAATCCTAATCAAACCCCTTATAGAAGTAGATGGCAAAGGCTGAGGCCCCGATCCTGCGCACCTCAAGCCTATGAAAGAGAGTCTGTTAGAAACTGTTCTCAGTATATTGGGGAATTTCGTGATCATTCATGAATTCTCTTCTTTGGAAGCATGACCTTCTGGGTGACTTTTCATTCCTCCTTTTTCTTTGTTGCTGATTTCAATCCCATGCTTATGGCAACCACAGAACAGGCTGGTTTTTTCCCCTCTTCCTCCCCCTGTCACATTTGTGGTGCTCTGAACTGTGCGTCTTCACCTCCCGACCTCTTTTTTTAATCTGTGGGGGGAAAGCCAAACCAGCAGTTGCCGTTTGACAACTTCTAGCTCAACACCAGCCAGGGCTTCCTGCTCTGCCCTTTCAGTGCCGCTTGTGAAAGAACAGAGTTTAGGGGAAACCGATGTTGAGGACCATGGTGCTCAAACCCCTCCTACCCACATGCAAAAACTTGGGGATTCTGGAATTTGTAGTCCCCTAAAGTAACTGTTTCAAGCACTGTGAAAGACGGGGGATTCCTATTGGGTTCACCTTGGTCTTCCAAGTAAAACCTGGTGGGAACAGACTTCTTAACAGCTGTCACTGAATCATGTAATGATGTTGGAATATAAATGTATCATTGTGGATTTCCTGTATCAGTAGAGGGGTCCTCTAGATCCAGGGTCTACCAACCTTGGGTAGACCAGTTGTCCTTGGACTGCAGTTCCCAGAAGCCCTTGCCACTAACTGTGCTGGCTGGGGTTTCTGGGAGTTGCGGTCCAAGAATGCCGAGGTTACCCAAGGTTGGGAACCATAGCTCTAGAGGACCTTTCCATCTGTACAAGTCTATGAACTTGGGTGTTGTGTGGGTCGTTCTCATTTGGGGTTCTCTCTGTCATCATCAATTTAGAACTCTAGAATTGGAAGGGACCCATGAGTTCACCAAGTTGGGTCTTGTTAAGGAGGTGGGGTGGATAATCACATTCCAAAACTCTGTCTCCAAAGCTAGATGCTTCAGCCACCGAGCTATTTAGCCAGTTATTAATTAGAATCATTATCAATTAGAGGAAGAGGCCTCTAAGGCCATCGAGTCCAACCCCCTGCTCAGTACAGGAATCCAAATCAAAGCAGATCGGACAGAGGGCTCTCCAATTTTCTCTTGAAGGCCTCCATAGTGTTGAAGCCCTCACCATCTCTGAAGGTCATTGGTTCCGTTGTCCTACTGCTCTAGCAGTTAGGATGTTTTCCCTGATATTCGGCGGAAGGGCAGGAAACAGATTATATAATGAAGGACATTCCCTCGCCTTTCAATCATGGGTTCTGTTGTCCTACTGCTCTAAGCAGTTAGGAAGTTTTCCCTGATATTCGGCGGAAGGACAGGAAACAGATTATATAAAGAAGGACATTCCTTTGCCTTTCAGTGTCGGACTGTGTGTGAATTCCTTCGAGAGTTTTTTTTATGAGGCTGATAATAATCTTAGTTCATTTTAATTTATCTTTGGCTTGACAGGGGTTGATTAAAATCCGAGGAGACCGCTGCTGGAGAGACCTGACATGCATGGACTACCATTATGAGGTGAGCCATTGAAACCTCCGATTGCCTGCTTCGCTTTGGAGCTTCTGTGCTCTCATGTTGCAGTCCAAGAACGCCCGGGGAAGAATCGGGCCCAAACCTGGAGGTGGCGCCACCCGGGTTCCTTACACACGCAACTCTCTTGTCGCTTTCTTGACCCCCTTCTGTCTTTTCAAAGGCACGTTTTCCAAGCACGAATGCGAGAGATTTCTCCGATCAACAGGTAGGCATCTAAAATTAACACTTCCCGCTTGAGTGCCTTAATCACGCCGGCTCCAAGCAGCAGCCCGAACGTTGGATGATCTTAACTTTTTGATTCTACAGAAAATTAAATGGGTGGGGGAAGAGGAGGAGGAGGAGGAGGAGGAGAAAATCGTAGCTAGCAGAATCCCGCAGGACATAAGACTCTCTTAGCGCATCCCAGGGGCTTTGCCGTGCAGGAAGATCACATTCCCTCTCCGCGCTTGACATCCAGAGGAGTGCATGTCAGTCACGAAGCTTACATGCATTGGTAATGTGCCAACATGTATTTCAAGGGGAAACATGAGCCGTATTCCTGGGTTCTTTTTCTGTTTGACAAAGAATTTGTATTGAGGCCCATGAATGCTTCCTGTCGGACGCTTGGGTTTCGCCTTTCCATTGCCTGGACTTTGTCTTACGAGACCACCCAAGGCCCTTGGTCTTCGTTAGCACATCTTCCGCCCTTTTCCTCCAATCTCTCTCCCCCCCAAGACACTTTCTCTCTCTCCTCCCTGCTCCTTTTTGGCCCAACCTTCCTCCCGATGGAGTTAACCCCTTCCAGCCTCCTTCAGACATCTCAGCCAGCTCTCCATGGTGACCTTATCAGAGGCTTTGAGCTCACTGACAGGTGTGGAATTGCGAGAAGACCTTCTTACGTCGAAAGCATGTCCAATTCCTGGCATGTGACTGCATCTTTGAGACTTTAGGATCTAATGGCGTGACACGATTTCATCCAAAGTTTTCATAACAATTATTAAGAATTTTACACCCTGTGTGTTGCGTTGTCTCCCTTTGGAAGTGTTGTGTGCTGTTCCTTCATGCTGTCGGTCTTCCACTTGGGACTTTTGACCAGAAAATGGTAAGTTTGGACACTCAGGTCTTTATTCTTATCTCCAGCTCCCCTGATTTGCCAACATACTGTAAATTATAATTCAAGAATACTTGTTACATGCCTCTGACTTAAGGCGACCCTATCCATGAGCTGTCTCCAACATGTCCTGCCCTCGGCAGTCCCATTCAGCTCTTGCAAACTCAAGGTTGTGGCTTCCTATAGGGAGCCAATCCATCTCATATTTGATCTTCCTCTTTTCCTGCTGCCTTCTACCTTTCTGAGCATTATTATCTTTTCCAGAGAGTCCTGCCTTCTCATGATGTGCCCAAAGTAGAACAGCCTGAATGTCATCAGTTTTGCTTCCGGAGATAGTTCAGGCTTGATTTGATCTAGGATCCATCCGTTCGTCTTTCTGGCAGCCCACGCTATCCGCAAAGCTCTTCTCCAACATCAAATTCTATAGAATTGTTTTTTTCCTCCCTGTCAGCTTTCTTTACTAGCCCACCAAGTTTCTTTTTTAATATAATGTCCAAAAAAAGTCTATTTTTTTTTATTTTAAAAAAAGAAACCCATTATGGGCATTTTCATAGCTGTTGTTGGCAACCACAGCTTGGAAGGGGACGGCAAGAAAAAAAATATCCTTTAATCGAGATTACAGGGCAAAAGGAAGGGAGAAGATTGGAGGAAACTGGTAAAAATGGGGTGAAGGGTTAGGGTTGTCCAGGGGTTGTGGTGAGCACAGCCGTCAAGGCGAAAGTGGGCGGCGAGATCTTCGTTTAACATATTGATGAGCTGGAGAAATGAGATGGGAGCTGTGGGTGGCAGAAAATCTGTTTGCTTTTTGTGGGAGAAAGATCTAATTTTTAAAAAATAAAACCACAATCTCCGGTTTTACTTTTGGAGCACTTCGGAAAACGTACTCTCCCCTTGCTTTTAAAGGAATGGCCTCTGGACGGGAGCAGAACCTTCTCTGCATATTCCCACAATTAAATGGGGGAAAAAGTGTGTGAAAGAAAGGCAAAAGACAGTGGCCAAATATGGTGACGATTTAAAAGTGAATGGGTTTATTCAAGTGCAAGCACTCCTGGATCGGAAGAATCAATTTCTTCAGACACAAGAAATGTGAAGGCGTGACTTCTATAGCTATACATAAATGGAGGTCGTGGATCGGTGAGGATACAGCAGACAGAAAGGTGATGGTTGATGAATGAGACTATGAAACTGTTAATTAGTGAAGATACCAGACCTTAGCCAGGATGATGAGTTGTATGCCAAATAGACTGGCTCATCCCTGAAATCCTAACAGCTGTTTTCTGGGTTACAACCCAGAGGCGGTCAATGAAGACATCTCTTTTATACCTGCAAAATATGACAGAAATGTGGGTTGTTGGTTTAAGAAGCCTTGATCTCTGTTTAGGCTGCTCCTCTATTTCTATTGAACTTTCAACACAGCATTGGATTCCTTGACTGAACACAACCAAGAGGATGTGTAACTTAATGGTTTTTTAACGTACACGTGGGTTTCCTGCCTGGCTGGCTATAACATACCCTATATTTATTGTTCTATCACTCTTTAAGGGTTCAGCTAACATGCGGCTCGGAGTGCTTATTACACCTTTTCTTAAGGGCGTGTGTCCGTGTGGGTAAGGTACGAGAAAGCCTGTAATGTTAACATGTTGCGCTTAAATGGGTTAATAAAAGTTTCAGACTCTTTAAAAGAGTTGTGCGTGCCAGCCCGGCTTTTAATTTAGGAGTATAAATCACTTTCCAGTCTGATTATTTGTAAAATCCTCCAGGTTTTGCCGAGACACAATAGCTGCTTTGTCCTTTTGCTAATTTAATGTATAGGTTTGAGGATTTCAGATCGGTCGTTTAGCGAAAGCTGCTCTGTGCGCTCCAGTCTGAGAAAGGGTGTTTTGGAATTGCATATCGGACTGAGGCTGAATTAGGAAACAACCGTCAGTGTTGTGAAATGCACATTCACGCCGTTATTCCCAGTGTCTGTGCCAGGGCACACTCCTTAATGTCAGTGGAAATGCATGAGAACGTTCTTGTGACCTCAAAGTGTCCTCATGACTTCTGGGTCTCCGCCTGAGTTTGGCTTTGCTTGCAATGTGCAAGGGCAGTTCATCTCCAGCTCTGAACTAGATTCCGGTTGAATTTCACTGACTCCTGATGTTATAGAATGAGAGAAAATTTTCTGTTGGGTCTCTGTATGACTCTGAGTTCCTTTCCTGCATTCAGGGGGACCCTATTTAGCACCATAATGCACTCAGAGAAGAGAGTCTCTCTTATGGAGTTTTCCCGAAAAATCTGTTACCAGCTTTAGAACAAAATATGTGTTCGTTCCTCTGAGCATCAGAAGAAGGAAGAGTTTGGAGTGTTGGCAGCATATTATGTACATCCACCAAGGAGAAAGAGAAGGCTCACATAGGCATAGGATGTAGACATCTTTATATTTATTAATAAAAAAGCTCAGGAATACCTCTCTCTCTCTCTATGGAGGCACAAAATACCTGTTGTGGCCAAGAGTGCCTTTTATCAGCTTTGTGGATTGCTCAGCTGCGCCCCTACCTGTATAAGACATGGCTAGTGACCGTGGTTCCCTTTTATCAGCTTTGTGGATTGCTCAGCTGTGCCCCAACCTGGATAAGACGTGTGGTTCCTGTGTCAGTAATCTCTAAAATAGACTACTGTAACACTCTCTACGTAGGGCTGCCCTTGAAGACAATACGGAAATTTCAGCAGTCTCAAAATGAAAGTGCCAGACTGATTATAGGGACCGGCAGATATGAACACATATCCCCAGCCTTGGCATGCCTTCATGAGCTCCCTGCGCTGTTTCTGCGCTGATCATGACCTATAGAGCCCTTAGTGGTTTAGGACCTCAAGAGCTGTCCAAATGTCTCTCCCACAAAATAGCTACTCATCTTACCTGCTCCTCACAGTCTTTGATGCTAAGAATTGTGATGCCCTTACCTGCTCCTCACAGTCCTTGATGCTAAAAATTGTGATGTGCAAGGAGGCCAAAAGAGGTAACACTGGGAACCAAGCTTTCTCAGTTGTGGCCCCTTTCCTGTGGAATACGTTTCCTACAGAGGTTCGTCAGGCAGCTTCCCTCTCGGTTTTTAGAAACTTAGTTAAAATGGAATTGTATAAAGCTGCCTTTTACTAGTATTGTAACCCTCACAGTCCTTGATGCTAAAAATTGTGATGTGCAAGGAGGCCAAAAGAGGTAACACTGGGAACCAAGCTTTCTCAGTTGTGGCCCCTTTCCTGTGGAATACGTTTCCTACAGAGGTTCGTCAGGCAGCTTCCCTCTCGGTTTTTAGAAACTTAGTTAAAATGGAATTGTATAAAGCTGCCTTTTACTAGTATTGTAACTGTTGACTTGAGATGTTCACATTTGTTTTATATTTGTTTAATCCCATTTAAATGTATGTTGTATTGTTTTGAGTAGTGATTGGTTGGTTGGTTGGTTGGTTGGTTGGTTGGTTGGATGGATGGATGGATGGATGGATGGATGGATGGATGGATGGATGGATGGATGGATGGATGGATGGATGGATGGATGGATATGGTGGTTTTTATTGTCTGATTTGTAATTATGCCTTTGATGGGTTGCAAACCACCCAGAGAAATTTCATACTGATGGGACAGTACACAAGTTGAAATAATAAATGAATAAATATGAAGCACAAGGGAAGGCTATACTTATGAGATGAGAAATACCGCTCCAGAACATTTCTCTTATAAATAAAAATAATTCAAGGAGGGTAATTATTTCCATTGTCATACAGCTCTAACAGTTAAGAATTTTTTCCTGATATTCAGCCTAAATCTGGCTTCCTGTAGCTTTTGCTTATTATTACTTATTATTTATTATTACTTGTCCTGCACTCTGGGATGTTGGAGAACAGATCCTTCCCTT